CTGTTTCAACTCTAAATATAGAGTTTAGAGGGATGTTGGGTTGGAGATGCCTAATGTACTTCCTCGCCAACAACTCACAGAATATCCACAAGTTTATGGGCGGTGGGGTAATTATTCCTACTCCCTCTTTTCATTAAGCAATTTTATATCATGCCAAGGCATGATCTTGTGGCGTGGTTTAGTTTTTTTGAGAGTTTAGCTGATTTTCGTAGTACCCTTTTGTGTTTTTGGAGTAACTTAGTTTTAGTCTAATGTAATTATTGATCAGACGTTAAAAAGAGTTAAGGATTGGAGCTCGGAAACTGGATTTTTCTTTGAGATGGAGCTTTTAAACTATTGAGTTTTGCTCTTTTTTACATTATAACTAGCTTTACCAATGTAATTCTTTAAGAAATTAAACACGTTTGTAGGGGTGTCATAGATGGTAATGTGGAAGTTGATCGTGCAACGTATGGGGGGACATCTGTAACTTTTATCGTTTCTCATGTAGTTATGAATTTGAAGCATTCTAAACAAGCATTTCATAGGATGAAAGGTTTGTGTTAATGGATGTAATGCTAGCTCTTCTATGCATCATAGTCTCTTTCCTTCTGAAATGTTAAAGAGTGAAATGGCTGAAGAGTTTGATGTTATTGTAACTTTATTTAAATTAGTCTTGTTAGGCAATCAGTACCTCTCAAAAGAACTGGTGCATTTATAGATATTAGGAATTTAATTCAAGTCCATCATGAATTGGCCAAAAAACTTCATACAATGCTAGTTATAGGAGAACCTGTCTTTAAGGTTGCGTTTCTGTTGTTAATAAGACTTGGGATTCCACACAATTGGTTGTTTTGCTAGTTTTGTTTTATTTTTTTATTTCTTGGTTTATTGTTATTGTCGGAATGGCTATAGAGAGGTTATGCATTTTAATTCTCTTCAACATGCAGTCTTTTGTGTTCAGAACAGTTTACATATTTCATGACGAAAATACGAGGGAAAATTTGTTATTTGTTTCAATTAGCTAGGCAGAAATTGGAAAGCAAAAATACATTCTTCAACTTGAAAGTACCAATGAATGAGATTCTTTTGTCTCGTATGCTGGAATGAGGAGTTCTGCCAGCAGTTATGCTGACTGCAATTCGATAAATAGCTTTAAGCCAATTGCATTTTCTTCATTTATAATTATGAGATAGTTTCAGTAAATGTGTTTACCTCTTTGGGTCCATCCAGAGAAAGCTTTTTATGAAGTTGTTTGTAGTCATAAGTTTTTCTTGTTTTTAAGCCCACATATTATCCCGGCATTTTCTTTAGCAAGGATATGGTCTTTCCTCGTTTTTTACTGAAAATTACACAGAAATATGAATTTCTTCTGATCTGTTGTGTATCCAACTTCATTTCAAGGGTGTTGAAAGGAACTCCGTTCGTCATCTGTTCTTGCAAGTTTGTTCTGCAATGTAATTGGGTTTCACTGATTATATCGATTTACTTGGATTTGTTTGACTCTGCAACCCTATTAGTGATATAACTACCTTTTGAGTTAGAATCATGGACCATTTAGTCTATAGTATTGGAATTGTCAATTTGACAACTTCTTTTACACAAAGAAGTAGCATTTTTCATGTTTCTGGGTCATATCTTGACAGCAGATAGAGTTATGATGATGTTTAGCTCTATTATATTGTCTCCCACTTTCCTTCACGTTGTAAAATCTGAGAAGCAGTTCAATTGGGTTAGTCCTGTTTTCTTCTTATTCTTCCTCTAAAGATCAAAGAACTCAAAGTTGGTTTGCTTTGCAGATTCTGTGCTGAAAATGAAAATTTTACCTGTTTGTTGTTTCCTTCAGAATGTTGAATTCATTGTTATATTTATACGTGTTATTTTAGCAGATGGTCAGGGCTAGAGATTGTAGTTTCGTGGTTGTGACAATGCCTTCCAAAACCATGTCTTCCACTGAAGGGGGTTCACCCTCATTGATCCCGACTTCGAGGAGTTCATCCATAGTTTTTGTGATGACAAATTGGTAGAGATCATTTTTCTGTCCCCATGTTGTCAGAGGATTATATTTTCTTCAGTTGATCTGCTTTTCATATCCACTTGTATTGCATTAGCAGTTCACCAGATATGGTCTAAATTCATAGCCCAAAAAATTTGACCCTTGGCTTGATGAAACTCTGATTGAAGTAGAGAGGCTTCATTTTAAGGCAAGGATTTGATTAAGAGTGTCTTTTATAGGGACCATTCCTTAGCACTGTCATATACCAGTATCTGTAAATTGGTGTTCATTGAAAGAGGGGATTTTTGAGATTTGCATAAGCACTTTTCAGATTATTTTAATCTCTAAGACATTTTGCTTTCTCGTGCGAAGAAATCTGAAGCTGTTTATGATCAAATTTTGATTTGGACATATTGGATGGTGAGCATGATTGTTGTGGCTTTATTTCAGGCATTGGGGGTTGCTTGTGTGATGAGTTTTGGCGATGATGATATTGATCAAGATGTGAGAATAGATGATATATGTCCAACTTGATCAGTACAGAAAATTTTATGTAAAATTTACTTGACAATAACGGTTCCTTTTTCATATTCAATTACTACTAGTTTTCGATTAAAAAATGTTGGATATGTAAAATAAATTACCAAAAGACTTGGAAGCTGAAACTGTTTGGTCTCCATTTGCTTAGTTCCTGCTTCAGCACTTTAGCCACAGAGCCTAAACAAATATAGAAATGTCACAAGTTTATTTGGGTCGATGCTTCGCAAATTAATTTTTCTAAAGCTTTGAATAGTCCAATTGGAGGAGCTAGCTAAAAGTTTACCTACTATTTTGTCAGTTAATTCTACTTAGTTAAGCGCATTAAGGCTTATGTCCAATGGTTTTGTGGACGATTTTTGCACATAAACCGCTTTCGTATACAACGTAGATTATTCTTCTGCGACGGAGAATTGGGATAATCTCATGCTTCAAAATCATCTGGCTACTTCAGTAATAAACTACTACCCGTTTTTTTAAACCCGTGATTGTTTCATTTAAAGTCACACCAAAAATCATTTCTTTCTCTTCAACACATTTTCTGATCTTTTTATTTTTCTTGATTTGACGGTTCAAAGTCATAACAACCTTTTAATATAAAAAATAGCCAGTTTGTTTACTGAAAGTCTGAAAGAATTAAATACCACTGCTTTTTATTTTTAATCAGATTCTGCTTTTAATATAAGTAGAAATTCCTGCATGTTGTTGGCATGTCTTATAGGTTCAAAGTCACAAAGTTGACTTCTTGCAACATTTGTGTATGCTCTTTGAGTTTTGTCAGAAAGATAGCTGGGATCTTAGAGTTAGTTTGTGACAATGTCTTCTTAATATGCTTATATTTTATCTATTTATTATATCTTTAATTTGTGATTTTTGCAATATATTTTGAGTACAAATATGCTATTTATGTGATTTTATATTTAATTGTAGGAATTGTACTCAAAAGGAGGAATTGTTGAAATTTTGGGCTAAAATGAAGATAAAAGTAACTCAAAGGGAAAATTTAAGATTTGATAAATTGACAAGTAAGAAATTGAAGCACTTGAAGAGTTGGAGGAGTTTTAATTTAAATTGGCTTGAAAAAAAATATAACTTTCTTATTCCTGAAGAAATAAGGTTTGAGGAAAGTCTATAAAAAGAGGATTAGAGTTTTATTTTTGGGGAGACTTAACCTTAAATCACCAATCCTTTCCACGCCCAAAACCCCACCCCTCTAAACTTTCACACCATTACCTCTCTCTCCACCTTTGCTGACCCTCCACGCACCCACCATCTTCACCTTAGGCATCAGCATCTCTATTACCGCCGCCCAGCCTCTCCACGCCACCACTAGTGCACCAAAAAAAAAAAAAACCTTCCACCAAATAACCCACGCACCACACCAAATCAGCCCCCCCACACCTCCACGCACCAAATCTACTCCATGCCACAGACCTCTTTTCAGCCCTCCTATATCAAACCCACGCTGCAGCACCATCTACGCGCATCATCAGAGGAAGCAAGCAGCAACGCAACAACCTCAGACTCAACTTTCGGCTGACTTTCTCTCGGGTTTCATTGTTTTATTTATTTTTGAGATGATGTGTAGCTAAATTATTTAATCTAGGGTTTTGGATGTAGCTGCCGTACTATTTAATTTAATTTAATTTATGATTGTGACTTTTTCATTAGTTGATATTTAATATTCTTACTTTTATTCCAAGTTAGTATTAATCACCACTTGCATGCTTAAAAAGTGTTTAACTGAAGGAACGACAGTTGAAGGTCAACATTAGTTCATGGGAACATTAAACTTAGGTAGTGAGCCACGAGAGTAGGAACACCGCCTTTGCGACTAGTAATTCCAGAGTTCTTAATGTGCTTTTATTAATCCCTATAGTCACGAGAGTAGTCATAGGGTTAGTTTAAGTAAGAGGGTTATGACACGAGAGTGTATAATTCTTAAATTGGTGAATTGTCGTGAGATTAATGAGAGTCGAAAGTCACATATCTATAGATTAAATTAAACTGAATAGTCGGTTGGTGAACCCTTTGCCCTAGGTTTTTCTTTTACTTATTTATATCTTTAAATAATTGCAATTGATAGTTTTAGGTTTAGATTAGTTTAAATTGATAAATTATTAATCTAAATAATAATAAGAAATAATTTTAATTGGTACTTGGTAACCTTCTCTGTGGGATCAGCCCTGCTTTCTGCTTTACTGCTAGTAATTGTATTAAGTAGGTAATTAATTATTTGACTAGTGTGTCGTTTAAGGCCACTTCTTGGTTCACATTTACTGTCGTCGTAATAGCTGTATTGGTTTTATCTTATGTTAGTATCTCAATATCAGCCTTTACAAGTGGGATTTGGTCAGCGTGGAATTTCGCAGAAGCTTTCTTTAGATTGTTTCAAGCTTTGAGCCATCTTGTAGTTTTAATTCTGGTTGCTCATGAGAAAAAATTTGGAGTTGTTTATCACCCAATGGTTATCAGAAACTATTGGGTGATGAGCTTAATTTTTATGGCTTTGTTTGCGGGTGTTGGAGCTGCTCGTATGATAAGTGGTGGTGATTATATTGATCAAGATTTGAGGGTAGATGATATTTTTCCTTTGGCTTGTTTACCATTGTATGTATTCCTGTTCATTGTTGCTATTCATGGATCATCGGGGATTAGTATTGTTCAGGAACAAGAAGATGGCACTGATTTGATTGTTGAGACGAATGAATCTAACGTCAGTGGTTATACCACTGCTTCTCCAATCTCCAAAGCAATGTGGCGATGGATGAATCCTTTACTGAGTAAAGGTTCTAAAGCACCTCTAAAGTTAGATGAAGTCCCTATGCTTCCACCAATTTACCAAGCTCAAAAAATGGCAAAACTTTTTGATACGAATTAGCGCAAGTCTAGTGAAAATGTGAAATACACTGTATTAATGACATTGATAAGATGTTTCTGGAATAACATTGTTCTGACTTCTTTTCTAGCGATTGTGCAATTGGCTGTTATGTATGTTGGCCCTGGCCTCATCTAGCGTTTTGTGAAATTTGCTTCAGGAGACAGACGAAACCTTTCTGAAGGATATTTTTTGGTATTGATTCTCTTGATTGCCAAACTTATTGAAGTCCTCAGTTCACATCAGTTCAATTTCCAAAATCAAAAACTTGGGATGCTGATTAGGTCGACCCTCATTACCGCCTTGTACAAGAAGGGGCTTAGACTTTCTTTTCCTCTAGACAAGCTCATGGTGTTGGGCAAATTGTGAACTACATGGAAGTTGATTGCCGACAGCTTTCAGACATGATGCCTCAGGTACATTCATTATGGTTGATGCACTGCAGCTTGGAGTTTCTTTGGTTCTTCTCTATGCTTATACAGGTGGTGCAATGTTAGTATCAGTGTTTGCCATTGTATCCGTGATCGTGTTAGCAATTAGGATTGCTTGGAAAAACAATGAGTACCAGTTCAACCTTATGATGAACCGTGACTCTAGGATAAAGACAACCAATGAACTGGTCAACAACATGAGGGTCATCAAATTTCAAGCATGGGAACATTTCAGTAAGCAAATCCAAAATTTTTGAGAACAGGAATGTGGGTGGCTTGGCAAGTTTATGTATGCAATTGCTTACCGCATGTAAATGCTTTGGAGTGTTCCAGTTGTTATAGCAGCTCTTACATTTGTCGTTGCGATTGCTATGCACATTCCACTTGAGGCTGGGACGGTTTTCACAATAACAACTATTTTGGAAATCTTACAGGAGCCCATTAGAACCTTCCCACAAAATCTTGTGCCAATTTCTCAGGCAATGATTTCACTAGAGAGGTTGGATGGGTATCTAACAAGTTACAAGCTCGATACTAAAACAGTGGAAAGGGAGCAAGGATGTGGTGATGAATTAGCAGTGGAAATTTTGGATGGTACTTTTTCATGGGAAGATGAAGGTGAAGAACAAGTGTTTTAAAGACATCAATTTCCAAATGAAAAAAGAAGAGTTCACAGCAATTGTCGGAACTGTTAGTTCAGGGAAATCCTCTTTATTAGCAGCTGCCCTTGGTGAACTTCACAAATCTTCTGAGAATGTATATGCACATAATTCTTTACAGTGAAATTTATTATCAGGCTTAAACAGTTCATTAAGCTCAGTTTACTTTATGCGAGCTAGTTCAAGATACTGTATCTTGGTTATTTTCTCATCAAGTAGTAGGTTCTGCTGAATCAATCTGACTATTACACTATGTATGCATAATGCACGTGTCTTTGGTGTTTTGTTTCCATGTACAGGTCAGAGTTTGCGGGAACACTGCATATGTGTCACAAACCTCGTGGATACAAAATGAAACTATCCAAGAAAACATCTTGTTTGGTTCAAAAATGGATAAAAAGAGATATAGTGATGTGCTCAGAGCTTGTTCATTGGAGAAAGACTTGGAGATTTTCGAACATGGTGATCAAACTGAGATTGGAGAACGTGGTATAAACCTAAGTGGTGGCCAGAAGCAACGCATACAACTTGCCAGAGCCGTATATCAGGATTGCGATATTTATCTTCTCGATGATATATTCAGCGCTGTTGATGCTCACACAGGAACATGAATATTTAAGGTGTGAAATATTTACCTTCTTCGGCTTTTTTTACCCCTTTGCTAGATAGTTAAGGTCACTCGAGAACTTGTTAGATCTTCATGTACATCAGATCACATGTGGCATAACTTATGAAATATTAACAAAACAAACCTACTCTTATTTACAATTTTGCAGGAAAATCTAATGTTAATGTGGCTTTGCAGGAATGTGTACGAGGAGCCCTGAAAGGCAAGACCATTTTACTGGTAACTCACCAGGTTGACTTCCTGCACAATGCTGATCTAATCATGGTGAGAGGAACTGTGGAAGTTCTACGTATGATTATGATTTACTATTATTTTCTTGATTTCCATTAAAAAGATAAATAGAACAAAATGGAGAAGCTTGCAAAACTGGAATAAAGGATATTAGTAGGACTAGGACTGCAAGGAGCATTTACTTATGATCTCTATTATTATGTGACCTCGTACAATGTTTCTTCATTAAGTGAACCTTTCTTGGATTTAAGCAAACTTATCATCGCTACCATTTCACTAATTAACCTTGTTTCTCAAGTAATGCGCGACGGTAAGATTGTGCAATCTGGAAAGTATGAAGAGCTTATTGAATCTAGAATGGATTTTGGCTCGCTTGTAGCTGCTCATGAAACTTCTGTAGGCATTGTGGAGATGATAACAAACCAATATGAACAACAACCAAACTCGCCTCACCCCATAACACCTAAATCCCCACAAAATCCACCTGGTAAAAGTGATGCTAATGGTGAAAACAGGTCTTTTTCAGAGCTATCCAATGCTGATAACGGAAACCCCAAACTCATTGAAGATGAGGAGAGGGAAATTGGACAAGTTAGTATAGGTGTCTGCAAACAATATTGCACCATTGCATATGGATGGTGGGGAATAGGAGCAGTCCTCAGTTCATCTTTGATTTGGCAGTTATCTCTGATGGCAAGTGATTACTGGTTAGAGTATGAAACTTCAACAGCTCGCACTTTTAATGCTTCGTTGTTCATACAAGTTTTTGCGATCATAGCAGTGATATCATGCATTCTGGGGGGACTCAGAATGTTTCTTCAAACATTATTGGTCTCAAAACATCTGAGTTTTTTCGATCAAATGCTTGAAAGTGTCCTTCATTCTCCCATGTCCTTCTTTGATACTACTCCATCTGGAAGGATATTGACCAGAGTAAGCTTTTTACTTGGTTTGCATTTCTGAACTTATTTATTTATTTTTAATGAATTTGAACTTATAATGAAATTTCCGTTTCAGGCATCAAATGATCAGTTCAACATTGATGTACTGATCCCTTTGTTCTTGGGTCTCACCCTTGCAATGTACTTCACAGTCAATGGCATATTGTTCATTACAATTCAATATGCTTGGTCGACACCGTTCCTTATCTTTCCTCTCATTTGGCTTAATTTTTGGTACCGGGTATGAACATTATATACCTTTTTTGCTTGATATGATTAAAGTTGAATCTCTGACTTGCCTGTACAGTCTAATAGGTAATGAATGTGATTAACAAGATGAGGTTCCTTGCACAGTTGTTTTCCAGAATGTATTCAATCATGTTACTCTTGCATAAGATTTTTTTTCGGAAAGGCATTCTGCGATGCAAAGTTGGTTAAAATAGTGAATGTTTGGTGCTAACTTATTCTTCATGTGACAAATTGTAGGACATTTATGGCAATGTTATGGGAAAGAAAGAAAAAGAAAAAGCTTTTCAGAAAAAGTGTATATTATCAACTTATGCTTGAGAGTTGTGTTTTTGCGGAGGTATTATCTCTCAACATTGTGTGAAATGAGCCGTTTGGATTCAATCACCAAGGCTCCAATCATCCATCACTTTTTCGAGACTATTTCTGTTGTGATGACCATTTGTGGCTTTGGGAAGCTGGATAAGTTCATTCAGGAAAATTTTGATAGGGTCAATGCCAATCTGCGAATGGATTTTCACAACAATACATCCAATGAGTGGTTAGGTTTTTGGTTGGAGATGATTGGAATTTTTATCCTTCGTATTGCCACAATGTTCATGATCTCTGGCCTAGTACGATTATAAACCAGGTGAGTGCTATGATTGACTCCATGTACATATCCATTGAAAAATATATACTCCTTCCGTCCCACAATAATTGTCCAGTTTGGATTTTCATTTCTAGTATGAATCTTGGGACAGAGGGAGCATAACTTAGTTACACTAATCTTGGGATGTTTGATGTTTATGTTACTTTTTGTTACACCGTCAGAATATGTTGGCTTGTCTCTTTCATATGGCTTGCCACTGAATGTTGTGCTATCACTATATACATGAGCTATTTAGTTGAGAACCGAATGGTTTCAGTTGAGAGGATAAAACAGTTCACAGTTATCCCTTCAGAAGCACCGTGGAGAAATCCCAACTTTTTGCTATCATCTGACTGGCCAAACCATGGTGATATTGTAGTAAGCAACTTACAGGTAAATTTATTCAGTTTCACGATGAAACATTGGTAACATAAGTGTCTGATACTCATTTCAGAAATTCAACAAAGAAAAAAGTGACAACTTTGTTATGTGACTTGAGCAGGTAAGATACAGATGGAATACTCCCCTTGTTTTGAAAGGAATATCACTTAGCATACATGGAGGAGAAAAAATTGGCGTTGTTGGCTGGACAGGGAGTGGAAAATCTACACTCATCCAGGTTTTCTTCAGGCTTGTGGAACCTTCAGCTGGGAAGATTGTTATTGATGGAGTTGACTTTTCCAATCTCGGCCTTCATGACCTTCGATCTCGCTTAGGAATCATTCCTTAAGAACCTGTCCTTTTTGACGGAACTGTAAGAAGCAATATTGACCCCATTGGTCTGTATTTAGATGATGAAATTTGGAAGGTACTTTGCTTCCAATATAATACTTCCCACATTCCAACTCCTAAAAGACATTTCTACTTCTAATGACTTTACTTCACAATGTATTAGACCTTTCTGGCTAATGAGCTGTCTTCTCTTTTCCCTATTGTGTATAGAGTCTGGAACGTTGCCAGCTGAAAGATGTGATAGCTGCAAAACCCGAAAAAATTGATGCTTCAGGTCAGCAGCCATTTTCTTCTCTTGAGTCTTTTGATCTCTTGTTTGTGCATCTCAGATTTAAGTCTAAAAGGTTTTGGCTGTGTAGTGGTTGATTGTGGAGGCAACTGGAGTGTTGGGCAGAGACAGCTCCTGTGCTTGGGGAGGGTCCTGCTAAAACACAATAAGATCTTATTTATGGATGAAGCAACAGCATCTGTCGATTCCCAAACTGATGCCGTCACTCAAAAGATCATCCGTGAGGAATTTCGCCGCCTGCACAATCATTACAATAGCTCACAGGATTCCTGCTGTCATTGAATGCGACAGGGGTTTAGTTATCGATGATGGTCAGGATTCACAGCTATTGTCATTCATTTATTTGTTACAATAGTGAATCATGTTTGTGCTCATTAACTTATATGTATTCAGGTGTAATTCTCGAAATAGGATGGGTTACAAAATTCGACAAACCATCCAAGCTGTTTGAGAGGACCTCATTATTTGGTGCATTGGTACAAGAATACTCCAACATGTCATCAGGATTATAAAGCTATCTGCTAGTTTTTTTTTTTTTTTTTTCGATGAACCACTTGACTAGCTAAACAGGACCAAAAAACTGAGCCCATCCGTTGCTCACCACGCTATTTTTGTTGATTTAAGATGAAAGGATATTATGCTGATAATGTTACAAACACATTACTATAAGTTTTGCATATTTCAGGATATAGATTTCATCTCAAGCAACAAGAAGTCATCTATAAGCAACAGTATTACAAACTTACTATTACGAAATCTACTTTAATATCGATAATTTGGTGGAAGTGAAGAAACTTCATGTAATTATTGATCAAACAAACATTGTTGAGAGTTAAGAACTGGAGCTCGGAGACCGCATTAATTTGGTTCAGAATTGAGATTGAGCTTTGAAACTATTGATTTTTGAATTTTTTTTACTTCATAAGTTAGGCAGGAGTGATCTTACTTTTTTTTTTATACAAATCTTACAAGCACCTACGCTATTACATGCGTGAGTCTTGGGGAGTGATTTTACTGACTGTACCATTGTTGTGCTTTGTAGCATATACTTAAAGGTTTTGAAAGTCTTCAAAAAAAAAAGAAAAAAAAAAGAAAAAAAAGGCTTTGAAAGTCTTTACTTTAGGGATAAAATTTGCATATTTAGAACTTTTGGGCTTGAGTTGTATTAATCTCGCAAAATTTTAAAACAATTGGGCCCTTCTTTAAGAACTGGCTTGGCACGGGGGTTATATTGCAAAATTAAAAATCTCAATTTTGCCCGATATCCACAAAACCCCTAGCTTTCTAGCTTTCATTTCTGGGTTTTCTTTCTTCTTTGATTGAAAAAGCTTTAAAGATTCAATCTTTACGTTGTGGAGATAATCAATCAATCAGAAAAAGATCAGAAAGGGAAATAAAATGTCCTCTGTGGGAACTTCAAAGGGAGTTTTGGAGATTGCTAAGTTTGCGGTTTATGTGAGTGTCCCAATTGGGCTAATGTACTTCTTCGCCAACAACTCGCAGAATCTTCACAAGTTTATGGGCGGGGTAATAATTTCTACTCCCTCTCTTCGTTTCTCTTTGTGGATTTTTGCATTTGTGGTGTGGTTTGTATTATTTTACTGCTTAGCAGATTTGTGTAGTCTCCTTTTGTGATTTTGGAGTATTTTCGTTTTTATCAGATGTACTGATTGATCAAACGTTAATGAGAAATGTTGATTACCTTTGATGGAAATCAAGGATTGGAGCTCAGAAATTGGATTTGGGTGTGATTGAGCTTTGGAACTATTGAGTTTTGCCCTTTTTTGCTCTATAACTTAGGCAGGAGCTATCTAATTGGCTATACGAATGTGATGCTTTAAAAAATTAAACACGTTCTTTCCGATTTTCTATATGGTAATGTGGAAGTTGATTATACAATGTGTGTTGGCAGTAATAGCTTTTATCAATGAAATGCTAGCTTGTCTGATGTAATTTCTGATAATGAATGTAATGCTAGCTTTTCTATGGATCATAATGTCTTTCGGGGGTTAAATGGCTGAAGAATTCGATGTTTGGCTAACTTTATTTGAATAAGTTTTGATAAGCAATTAGAAACTTTCGAAAGAATTTTATCAGTTGGGAAATAGGTCTTACGAATACCAATGCAAGTCCATTGTGAATTAATTGGTGAAACCTCATGTAATGCTGCTGTCTTTAAGGTTACGTTTCCTTGGATCTGGTGAACATTGAACGCAGCAAATTGTTGTTTCTGTGTAGGTTGAATGGTCTCTAAGAGCGGAATGGACTTCTGAATCTATGCATTTGGTTGTCGTGCTAGTTTTTGTTTATGTCTTTGTTATCTTAGTAGAGATTATGCCAGCATTTTTATTCTCGTCCACGGGTAGTCTTTTGTGTTCTGAAGTCTGAAAAATTCACTTAATTGATGATCAAAATGTTATCGAAAACTTATTGTTTGTTTCAATTATCTAGACCGATGGAATTGGCAAGCAACATTGCTTCCTACAACTAGAAAATATCAAATTTTGAATGAGAAGCCTTGCATTTTATGGTGGACTGAGCTGGTCTGGAAGCAGTCGACTATGTTCTGAGCCAACTGCCTTTTTTTGGCTCTGCCATTTGTAATTATGAGATAGTTTCAGTTAATGTTGTTTGTAGTCCGAACAAGTTCTCTTGCCACTTATACTATCCAGGCGTTTTCTTTGGCAGTGATATGGTCTTTACTTGTTTCAACTGAAAACTACACAGAAATTTTAGGACTGCATTGTGAACTTCGGCTGCCTTTTTTGCGTCCAACATCAGTTCAAGGGTGTTGAAAGAAACTATGATTTTCAACCTGATTACTTATGTGTTGACATGGTGTTTTTAATGAGCCTTGCTCTCTGATGTTATGGTATATGAACACAATTGGAAATGAACTGAATGGTAGTGTCTTTTGCTGAATTTCATAGAGCCAAGTTACGTTACTCTCCGTTGGTGTTGGGGGTTATAATTTTTGACATTGTGGGATACTGTCGAGGGTTTTCTCTTCTCTTCCCTTGTCTTTTCCTGGTTTTCTAAAGATGTCTATAGGTTTCCATCAAAGTTGAGAATATCTAGTCTGATATTGTTTAGTCTGGCAGATGTCTTTTATTCTTGCATGTTTTCATTTGTTCCTGATTTTTCTTTGTTTTTTTCTCTTTGTACCTTCTTCATAGCGTCAATACATAGTCTATCCACCTGAAGGACCACGGCCGCCATCACCGGAGGAACTAAGGGAAAGGGCTCGGGAAATAGCCCGTAAGAGGAACAACCAGTAGCATTCTGGTTCTGTAAGTAAAAATGTAAAACTTGCAGCTGTATCTATCTCTGTACTGTATTACAAATCAATCTGCTTGTCCCAATCCAACTCTTGATATATGAGGCAATAAAAGTTCATTTGATGTTGAGATGATATTATTTCATACATATTTTCTTCTCTACCAAAGTAAAGTTAATATAGTTTTATATGCATCTGTTCTTTGCAAGTTTGGTTTGGAATATAGTTGGATTTTTCTGATATTTTACTTCGATTTGTTTTGACTGTCCAATCCATGTAGTCAACATAACGACAGTTTTGAGTTAGAATCATGGACCATTTAGTCCATAATATCAGAATTGCTGATTGATGACTTCCTTAACTCAAAGCAGTAGCATTTTTCATGTTTCTGGGTGTTATCTTGACAGCAAATAGATTTATGATGATGTTTAAGCTCTACCAGATAGCCACTTGTTTGTTCCAAGGTCCCAGTTTTCTTTAATTAGGCTCCTAGATATTAGTGCCTATCACTTCATTTCAAGGGATTTTTCTAGTTGCTTGATTGATTAAGATTTTGGATTTTCTGCATCACTTAATATACTGGTGTTTGAGAAATTTGAATTGTCGTCTTGGATTTATAAATTCATAATGATTTAGTTCTGGAAAAATAGTAAGCATATTGAAGTAGTTACAATTGTCAATTTTTCAATTATCAACAAAATTATTATACAACAATGTTGAATAGATCTCTTTAAAGTTTGATTCTGGGAAACGTATCTAACTACCTACCTAAAAACTTCCCAACCTCCTTTTTCCCTCTTAATTGATCTCTTTGCCGCCTTTTCTTTTTATTTTTTTTTAATTTTTTGAATTAATGGGATTAAAGTCAGAAACAACATCACATATGTTATTCAACCCGTTTCAAAATTATTGTCTATTTTGAATTTTTATTTTTAGTTCAAATTGTACTAAAAGTAAAATTTTTGGACAATAATTTTGGAACAGAAAGGGTATTTTAAAGCATTTCTTTGCTACCTATGTGTGAACGGATTTGGCTGTATTGAAATTGTGTGCGAAAAGGGTCGCCAATTTAGGTTTATCAAGATACTTGGCAAAATGAAAGGGAAATGTATCATTGTCATGGTTTAACTTCTATGTCACTCCAATCTAACCTTACAATGTACTTGCAGCTATAGGTTTATATGTGTTAATATAGCCTTTGCACAACATTAAAATATTAGTTAAGAGGTTAATCAATAGGGTTTAGACACCTCCATAAAGTATAATTGTGTAGTTATTCAATTGAGCAAAAAGTAAGCCTGAAGGAAGGACTTTTTTCTTCTTTTCTTTTCTTTTTTTTTTTTTTCTCAATTGACCATAGTTAAAATCTTGGGAAAAGAAATATTAAGATGTTAAGCATAGGTGTTAATCTCAAATGGATCCAAGTATACCCCTCTATGGACAAATAAGCGCTCACAAGTATTTACTAATGTATATCTGGACTTGAGACTTCTTTTCATTAAAGAAAGCTAGCTCCTTACTATTCTGGACAAATAAAGGCTTTTTCGTACCAAAAAAATAATTCATATTATAATTTGTGATCTATATTATATAAATCACAACTTTTTTTTGGAAAGATAGAGAGTACACTACAAAAGGAATGTAATTTAAAGTGATCTTGCAAATGGTTGTCTCGGTATGAATTATCTTGTCTAAAAAATGCATATTTATTTTAAAATAGTGACTTACCTACAAACATAAGAAAAACTTAAAAATGTACTCCAAATGGGAAAATAATATGGTGGAGTAAACATGTCTCCAATTTTTTTTTTTTTTTAAAAAAATTCAGGCTTTGCAGTTGATTTCGTGTCAACTTTACTTCTTTTCTAACCCTTCCAAGTTCCAACCCCTCTTGTCCCATCTTTGGGGTCTTTTCTTTTCGCTCCCTTCTCCAAAACATCATCCTCTTTTATTAAATATGTTATTGAAATCAAATTTTTGGTTTAGCCAAAAAAAAAAAAAAAATCAAATTTTGGTCTTTTTTTTTTTTAAGATCTTAAGAAAAATGAAATGAAGGAACCAACAATTGCTCGTGGAAATAGTTTAAATCTTTTATAGCAAGTATCCTTACTCAATGCCAATGCTCCAAGTTGAGTGAAACTGAAAATCACAAGGAGACGGTTGCTCTAAAATGTGAAGTTGCTCGGAAAAGAGTGACTTTACAATAATATGGTTTTTTTTTTTTTTCCGACAAAAGGAGTATATAACTATTGTATTTGTGAAATTAGTGTAACAGAGCAAAAAATAAAATAAAGAATATTTTCTTTTCCCATTATTTTGGCCCTCTGATATGTTTGGTAACTCTTCTTAAAATTAAGATACATCTCATAATTGAGTAAATACTGTACAATTTTATGTGATATCGTTAATAGTTTCCCCCTCTTTTTTTTTTTCTTTTTTTTACAATGAAAGAGATATAAGCCTAAATGGTAGAACACATTTCTAGGGGAAGAAACATAGACAATATCGTGTGTCAACCACTGTATAACACTAGCTGGCGGAGCAACTAAATGTTGCAAACTTCCGGGGCTTGTAGAAGCAATGTCCGCTAAGCAATGTCTGCCACAAAGTTAATAACTTCCCTTTGGTAGTAATAGTATAGACGTTAAAATATATATAAAAAGAAAACAGGAAAAATCGGTTTGACATTTCTTGATGGCGGAAATGGAACTTCACTTTCTAACAGAACGGTGCCAGTTGAGAAATTAATTGTTGGAAGTTAAGCGGTAGAGTATACAAAGCCATGCTTTGACTCATTGTCATAAATACTTTGGTGTGTCTGAATTATTATTATCATTGTTATACATTTAATTATTATTGTGCATATTTTGTGGTAGAAGAAAGCTATAAATAATACTAGCTGGAGGTCAAAATGTGGTCATATATGATGTCTGAATTACTAAATTTATTAAAACAAAAAAAAAAAACAAGTAGGAAATTGAATAAATTAATATAAGACAAGAAAAGGTCAAAGGTAGATTGGCTGCCCATTGCTTCATTGGCAATTTAAGGACGACGAACACGTTTTCTCATGTTCTTTCTCCCATGTTGTCATTTACTGGTTTTACGTACGAGAGACAATATATAATTTTTATAAATAAATAAATAAAAGCCTCGACAAAACGAAACCAATTTGGCATTTTGATTATTGCTTATGTAGTTGCTAACGTACATTCTCGCCAATATATGGGCGTATTGTAATATATAGTACCGGTTTTCGAAAAAATTCTTTGAGAAGATAATGAGATAGGGTTTTACTATGAATGATGGGTTTTTTCTTTTTGCTATTTAACTAAGACCGGTGAATTGAAATGAATTTGTTATTCACATTACCACCAATTGCACAAATTGCTCCTCTCACTAGGAAAAACTTTTGATTTCATAATGTTCTGTTTTAGGAAAATGATTTAATTTGTGAAATCAAAATATATTAAGTGAATTATTTTCTGATGAACAGAGTGAAAAAAATGATCAAGATACAATTTGGATAATTATTTTAGAACGAGTGAAGTCAATGATAAATTAATAACATTTCGAGGTTGTGTTCATCTCAAGTCATCACCTGCATTGCATCCATGCATTTGCAGCCCATCTTTGTCATCTCTCATTTTCAATAACTAATGTCGTTTTTATTTGGCAGCCTTGGAAACATAAAATTGCATGGTTTTCTTAATTCTGACAATTTCATTATCATAGCAAAAATATCGTCATATCCAAATTCCACAGATTAGTACTTTAGTCACATTCATAATCATTATAGTTTAATTCCTCATTGTATTTATCAATATTGTCCCAAGTTGCCTTGTTTCACACTGACGACTGAGGTATAATATAGTGATAAGATCTTTTTCCTGTTTCAAATAAATAGTGAATTTGAATCGCGCTTATATACATACACGTTAATGATACAGTATGAAGTTTAGGGTTTAGATAATTTAAATCACACTTATACATTCTAGTTGATACATGTTCGAAATCGACGATCGAGAAAACCTAATAATTTTCATTATGACGTTTATAAGTCGGCATATTTATACGTTTTGCAAGATAATCACGGACAGTTTTATTTGATCAACTCACGTTATACTAACATTCCACCCAAATTTTATCATCAGAATCAGAGACCAAATTCTCAAATCTCTGTACCAAAATTATTGTCTAATTTGAGATTTTATTTTAAGTAAAATTTGAATTAGAAATGAAAACTCAAAATGGACAATAATTATGGGACGGAGGGGGTATAATTTATATTTTATCAATTAATTGTAAACTGAAAATAAAGGATCTGAATATCTCTGATGATATATCAGAAGACTATATCAGAAGACTATCAGAATGGTTCAACTTAAATATACATCATGCACCTGTCTGCCACGTGCGTTCTGTATGAACCTTTGGAATGGCAAACCTGGATTTTATAGTTGGGTTTAGTTTAACTAAATATAATGTTAGTGACGATGTTATTATTATCTACTAGAAATAGTATTCCCTAACGTAAGTGTGTAATAACATCCTCGATCAGTCGATTTTATGCTCAATCTTTTTATCCGAACCAATGAAAATGACAATAGTGTTTTACAAAAGAAAATAGTGAGTTCAAAATATTATGGAAAGAATTCTATCCGAATAGAGGAAGTATTTGTATAAGTGTGGTTCATATCCTAGAAAAAAAAAAGAAAGTAATATCTCACTCCAGAAATTGGTCACAACATACAAACTTGATACTTCACACAATAAACATTTATCATAAAGTCTCTAGTTATAAATTTAGTTTAAACACATCACAAAGTCTCTATTTCCACTAATTCAATGGAAACATAAATTTCCACTCTATACAGAATTATTATGGAAAAGAAAATACTCTCGTCGTCCCAAAAATATTGTCCAGTTTGAACTTTTACTTTTAGTTCGTCCCAAAATTAACATCCAGTTTGAGTTTTTACTACTGGACAATAATTGGGTCGGAGGCAGTACTGCACATCGAAGAATATAAGAAAACCATTGGCATCGGATAAAATTTGAACATTACAGAAGAGATTATCATATCGCTCTGTATAAAAAATGACACGCACAAATCAGAAACTACTGTAGGAAAATAATAATAATAATAGTAATAAAGTTTGATAAAATACTAGTACACCTATAGTATAGTGTACACGAAATCCTGCAAATTTCCCATCTGGCGAATTCAATGCCCTCGGCGCCCATGGACAATTAAAAGTTCGTTGGGGTAGTTGCACTTCCCCAATCCCCCTCCTTTCCTTCTTCCCTCTCTTCCCTTTAAATTCTTCACTTCCCCTCCAAATTTTTGCATAACCCATCCCTAAAATCTCTTCCCCATTTCCTTTTTGTATCAAAATCCCAAAAATCCCTTTTTGGTGTCTCTGTTTTGGAATACTTTCTTCTTCTAGCTAATCTACCACACTTACTTTTGTGTTGGCAACATCAATTTCTTTGATTTTGGGAAATTCTTGCTTCCTGAGCTTGTGGGTTTTTCCTATTTTCTTGAAGGAAAGCCAAAAAAAAAAAAAAATGGAGAATGGTGAAAGTAGAAGAGTTGTTTCAGTTGAGACAGAGGATGGAAGAAGGAGGAATAAGCTTCCCAATTTTCTTCTCTCTGTTAAGCTCAAATATGTAAAACTTGGGTACCATTACTTAATCACCCACGCCATGTATTTGTTGTTGATTCCACTTTTAGGGGTTGTTTCAGTTCATCTGTCAACAGTTACTGTGGAAGATTTAGTCTTGTTATGGGAGCAGCTGAGATTCAATCTTGTTACAGTAATCCTCTGTTCTGCGCTTTTGGTTTTTCTGGGTACTCTGTATTTCATGACCCGGCCAAGGAAAGTTTATTTGGTTGATTTTGCATGTTATAAGCCTGGGACTGAAGTAATGTGTCCGAAGGAACTTTTCATGGAGAGATCAAAACAAGCTGGGATTTTCAGTGAAGAGAATTTGGCGTTTCAGAAGAAGATTTTGGAGAGGTCTGGTTTGGGGCAGAAGACTTATTTCCCTGAAGCTCTGTTGCAAGTTCCTGCAAACCCTTCAATGGCTGAAGCTAGGAAAGAAGCTGAGATGGTTATGTTTGGTGCCATTGATCAGTTATTGCAGAAAACAGGGGTGAAAGCCAAAGATATTGGGATTCTTGTGGTGAATTGCAGCTTGTTCTGTCCAACTCCATCTCTTTCTGCCATGATTGTGAATCATTACAAGCTCAGGGGAAATATTTTGAGCTATAATCTTGGTGGCATGGGTTGTAGTGCTGGACTCATCTCCATAGATCTTGCCAAACAGCTTCTTCAGGTTTGGATTCTTTCATTTCTCATCTTTGTGAAATTATTTCTTGAAATTGAAGTTTGTCTTTTGTCAATTGTCTTTGGTTGAGTTTTATGGTCTTTATTGTCTGTCTGTCTGTCTGAAAATGAACTTTTTTTTCTGGTCCATTTTGTAATTGTCACATGCATAGTGTTTTTTATCTTTGTTTTCTGGGCACGTTTGGAACCACATGATCACATGCAATATGACAATTCCAACTCCCCAAGCATCCAAATTTATGAGAATCTGATCAAAGTAGATGAAATTTAATGCAAAAAAAGAAAAAACAAATTGAAGGGTTCATCTCCAAGTCTGTTATCTAGGAGAAAGATTTGTAAAAAATGGCTTCTTTGGTAATCAAAATGAAACACAAATCTAACTCTGGTTTTAATCAAATTCAATTGTCAACAAACAGGTACAGCCAAACTCATATGCATTGGTAGTGAGCATGGAGAACATCACATTGAATTGGTACTTTGGAAACAACAGATCAATGCTGGTTTCAAATTGCATTTTCAGAATGGGAGGAGCTGCAATTCTGCTATCCAACAAATCATCGGATCGTAGGAGATCAAAGTATCAGCTAATCCACACGGTCAGAACCCACAAAGGCGCAGATGACAGGAGCTATGGCTGTGTTTTCCAGGAGGAAGACGAAAACAAGAAAATCGGCGTAGCCCTTTCGAAAGATCTCATGGCTGTTGCAGGGGAAGCATTGAAAACCAACATCACAACATTAGGACCATTAGTCCTACCAATGTCAGAACAACTCTTGTTCTTCCTTACTTTAGTTGGGAGAAAGGTTTTCAACATGAAAATCAAGCCTTATATTCCCGATTTCAAACTCGCATTCGAGCATTTCTGCATCCATGCTGGAGGCAGAGCTGTGTTGGATGAAATTGAGAAGAATTTGAGCCTAAGTGAATGGCATATGGAACCATCAAGAATGACACTTTACAGATTTGGCAACACTTCAAGCAGTTCATTGTGGTATGAATTGGCTTACAGTGAAGCTAAGGGAAGAATCAGAAAGGGAGATCGGACATGGCAGATCGCTTTCGGGTCGGGTTTTAAGTGTAACAGTGCAGTTTGGAAGGCATTGAAGACCATCAATCCAGCTAAAGAGAAGAATCCATGGATGGATGAAATTAATGAGTTTCCAGTTGAAGTTCCTCGAGTTGCAACGTTGGCTTCCTGAATATTTTGTCGGGAGACAAAAATTATTTGATTTCTCATAGGTTAGTTTTAATTTTAAAAGAAATTTGGAGAATGTAAGTTTGATAAAAATTTCCAAGTGTTACAATTTTTTTTGATCCACTGATTTATTTATTTTAATGTAGATGTGATTAAATCTTGTTGAGTTGTGATACAGCTTTCTTAATTCTTTTGTCCTAAGTTCAACGCTTTGTTAGTATATACTAATCTTATCGTGTCTTATCAGTGAAATAATATAATCTAACTCGTTTTTTATTTATTATAACCCAACCCAAACTCGAGTTCAAAATGCATGAACGCTAAGTTAATAACTGGGACACAAAAAGGAAGATTGTCTTCTTAACGTAAAATGTTGCCAAACACGAGCTAATACAATTAGGGAATCAAAACTATCTAATTTACCTATACATATGAGTCTCTAACCCAAAATTCCACAAAAGTTACTTTCTCTTTGCTAAAAAATAATTGCTTATTTAATCGTACTAAAATAGTATAACAATCCGGGCTATCATTTTGAGACGGGGTTAATAATGTTGATGGCGATATGCAATTTTATGAATGAAATAGAAGTTATGAGGAAACTATTACATAAGCGATTGACATAAGCAATAGGAATTGGCCCTATGATAAAGCTATTTTGGTCCTAAAATGAATGAGTAGTTTAAGTGTCCAGCAAAGTTGTTCGGGTAGTTTTGATCTTTCATGACGTTTGAAGCAAACTATTAGGTAAACGAAACGAAGAAGATCTACATACACATTTTGGTTATTGTTGACCTCCAATTAACGAAAGCTTGGTGTTTTTTTTAATCCACTTTTTCACGCTGCCCAATTTCTTGACTAGTTAGGATTAATTAATTGAACTTCTTTGTTGTTAATGTAGGATTGAAGCTTTGTTTTTTTAGTATATTATGTATCTAGTGTCCGAATTGAAGTTTTATTAATTGGTAGAGTTTTGGTCAAATAGTAATTTCAAGCACTAAAGGTGTAATGGATAAAAAAAATCTCTTTGGTGTAGGAAATGAGGGAATTACAGTTATGATTTGGTCAAAGTCAAATTGATCGATCCGGAAAGGCAAAATCCTAAAGACGTACTCCATCTAGTTCTTATTATAAGGTATTTTAATTTATTTTAAATTTCACGTAATATATTTTTTTAATTAGAAAAAAAGTTTAAAAATGTATTTCACATTCGTTGTGTTCTCCTAATTATCAGAAAATATTTTTATTTTTTTAATTGAAAAAACATATTAGATAAAACATAAAACAAATCAAAATGCCTTATAATATCGACCAGAGGAATAACATTTCTGTTATGTTTGAAAGCTTATATGATAAAACCTAAGGATATAGCAAAAAGTAGATATGCGTTGAAAATGTATTGGTCCTAGTTTTAAAGGAACGACTACCTTACAATTTATTGCTCCTAGTTTCTTCTAAATCATAGCCAATAGACAGATAATGAAAATGGGACATTTCCCAACTGAATACTGTGGCAAAGTGACCACACAAAATGTCGCAAACTAGAGATTAATGTATTTTCATTCATATTTCCACTTCATTTGATCAAAATCATACGTAAAATATCACCATTTGACTAGGAAAAAAAAAAAAAAAAACCCAAGTTGCATACATATTTAATTCAATTGAAAGGGGAGTAGGGGGAAAATGGTGTATTCGTGTTCCCAGAACCACTGAAACACGCATTAAACATGGTGTGGAACCAGCTGTTTTTTTTTTCTTCAGCCAAAGGGACGACTGATCATCAAGATCAGAAGAAGAAACTGAGAGACTGGTCCAAAAATACTTGGCAAAATTTATGAAACCAGGGGCCCTTTCATTTCAAACACATGAAATAACAGTACATAGTCTCTAGAATAGCATAGCTGGAAAAAGAAAAAAAAAAGAGAGAAAGAAAGAAAGAAAGAAAAAGAAGAAGACTATATTTATTTTAAAGGTTGATTGATGATTCATGCAGATCAAACTGGTTAGCTGTCCTTCACAAAGCCATGGCCAGTATTGTTGTTACTATTAAGATTGATATAATAAAAGCATGTATGCACTTGTTACCGGTGATAACATTATTCGAACACTGATATATAAGTGTCAAGTAGTGTTTAAATTGTTGAGAGAGTTTTATTTTTCGAAAAAGGTATGATTAGCTCAATAGCTCGAGTTTGAATTATTTAGGATACATAATAGTTTCTGATTACAATAAAAGGTTATACATGGTCTACCCAAATTGTATCTAGGTGATCAGATTTTCCAAATGGCATTTGAGAAAAAAAAAAAGAAAAAAAAAAGACAGCATTTGTAGTGTTCACATTCTGAATTTCCAAATTTTGTGATGTTAAAACTAAAAAGAACAATTATGATAGGATAATTTCAAAAGTAGATTTGGGACTAGCTAAATGTTGAGCTCAAAAACTTATTATTTCAAACAACAGTAATAGAAAATTGTGCTCTATTTAAATGATTATAAATGAACTAGCTACTTCCAAAAGCGGAAAGGAACAAAACAAAATGTAGAAAGCTTGGCAGAGAAGATCAAAACCTGATACAGTATCTCCAACATTCGACTTGGCGAATTCATAGCGGGGTCAGGATTTGTAAAATTGAGGGGCAAAAATATATAAAAAATATTTAATAGGGGTAAAAAATACAAAATTCTAAAAATTTAGCTTAAAATTTGAAAGAGGTCCTTTAGAAAAATTTCGGGCGAGAATAGCAACCACCCCTGCTAGTTATTGAGAATCCCAATCCTACATTGATACTGAGAGAGACTGAATATCAATATAAAAGTATATGAACTACTCCTCTCATTGTCAATTGGTTTTGAGATGATTCTCGTGGGCTTATGTACTAGTTCCTTAACTCCGTTGCTGTTCATAAATTTTTTCAATTATATTAGATGCTCTCTCTTCAAAATAATTGTTTTACACGTTCATTTTTAGTATGATTTCTATTATAAAAAAATTTCTAAACTAAAAAATCATTAAGACCAGGAGCATATAGTAAGAGACGGTCTACACGGTCGTCATGGGCTCATTTTGCTGATTTCTGTCTCCATACTCAGATAATTAAATTAACCAAAAGCTGCGAAGTCAAAGAAGAGGTAGATGGACTTCCCCTTGTTAGTGCAAGTAGTAATATGGTCCAGTCCATTAGTTTAAATTGCCCTCAAGTCAACTGTCGGAATCAGATGGAAAATAACAATCGATATATACCAGCGTACGCCTCTATGAAATAAAACACGTAAAAATATTCTATTTTATTAAACTAAATAATTATATTAGGATTATTTATAAAATAAATTAGACAGTTGAAATATTTATGTGGATGTTGATTGTGCGCAATGTGGGTTGACAGTTGAAACAATTATCATTTTCATCAATGATTTTAGGTCTTCTAAACAAGCATTTTGTGCATCACAATGTCTTTCCTTCTCAAATGTTAAAGAGGCTTAAGCTCACGACCAAATTAACACATTAAGGATCAATTATCAAATCACATCATATGATATATTGATGTACTCCCTCTATTCTAAAATTATTGTTCAATTTGAATTTTCACTTTCAGTACAATTCGAACTAAAAATAAAAATCTAATTTAGACAATAATTTCATACAGAAAGAATATACTACGTCACGAGGTAATCCTTAACTCGTTAGGAAATTCGTACATTAGATACTGCTTCCGCTAAAAATCACCCGAGAAGGGAATTGAGACCCGAAACGAGAGGTTCCAACTTCTAAGCGATGCATATCACCCATGCCTTGTGTTGCAAAATAAATAAATACTCCTAAATAAGTAATCGGTTATAAAATTTAATTCTTGCAAGAGATGCCTTTTATAATTTATGCAAGTTTCATATTTCAAAATGTTTTGTTCTCTTCATTTTTCCCTCATTGTGCCAAACTGCCAATTTACCCAACTAAAGACCACAGCCCGGCATCGATGGATGAACTTCATGAAAGGTTTCAGGAGTAGCATTCTGGTTCTGTAACTAACTTTTCAGCTTGCCCCTATATCCATCTGTTAAAAGAATTTGTAATTCATACTTGAAACCAACTATTTCTATAATGTATGACAATTTAATCTACACCATCCTCGTACAATACTCTAATTCTACATCATAATCATTCCCTGATGCCGATAGACTCATCAGTATGTAAGGCGCGAGCTGGTAATTAAGGGGCGTTTGTAGGTACATTAACCCTATATTCTTACTATTTTGCGTAACACTCTTATACTTCATTTGTCTCGAAATTATGTTCCAGTTTGAGATTTCAAGTTTAGTACAGTTTGAACTAAAATAAAAAATTCAAACTGGATAATAATTTTAGAACGAAAGGAGTAATATCTAATTATATGCGGGGGGACAAAGTTTATTTGCAGTTCAGATGATATTTAGTTTTAACATCCAATTATTTTCTAAAACAAAGCAAATATAGCTTAGTCTAGCTTTAATTATATTCAGCATCTGTTCGTGTATTGTAGATTTGATTTCAGTCTTGTTTGACTGTCCAAACCCAATTAGTCGAAATTGCTACAGTGTAAGTTAGAATTATAGATCATCATTAGTCCTAATTTTCGGATATCATCGATTCGACAACTCGTTAATTGCAAATTAAACAGTAGCACTCTTTTTTTTCCATATATGTCTATGGGTCTTATATTGACAGCAAACCCACTTATGCCTGAAGTAGTTCTACTAGCTAGGTCCCAGTTTTCTTAATTCCAGGTTTCTGTAGGATGGCTGGATAATGGATGTTTTTTTTTTTTTTTGGAAAATGTGGATAATGGATATATATATATATATATATATCTATATATCTTACTATATTAGAAACAAAAACCACACTTATGAGAAAGCTCCACCATTTGACATGTGGTATTTCCACATTATATTTTTAAAATAAATTTTTATTTACATATTAGTTTTCTAGACTTAAAAGACAAATGCAGTCCAAATCCACCTCCACCTCCTATTTTCGCCAAAAAAAAACCACGGATTCATAAAAACCCCAAATCTTCATCCACATCTCCACGACAATCGACTCCCTAATCAATCCCTTCTCCACAATAAAAAAAAAATAAATTCCTCATCAATCATCAACTGAGAATATGTGGTGAAGTATACTCCTTTTCTATTAGCATGTTCAATATTTTCATTAGTGATAATCAACTACATCCTAATGGAATAAAATTTTGACTTCAAGAAATATTCTCTTTACCTCTCTATGTAAATACAAAGGAAAAAAAAAAAATTCTCATTGATCTTGCTTCGGCCGTTGTGGTGATGCCATTACAGGTATTAAAATTTAAATGATTTTATTTCCACAGATCATTTGTTTGGCTTTTTTTATATTTTACTTTTCCC